GCACTGACTGGTGTGAGAGGAGGCTGCTAAAAGCACAATCCTCTTCTCATGGTGTGGCTGTCTCCTGACAGTTTCCTTGTATAGTAACTGAACCCATCATTTTAGAAGATGTAATATATTCAAGTTTTGGTTTGCTCTAAAGCCCATGGCCACGAATAGTACCTGGACAAATAAACAGTAATGTTTATAGCAGAGAGAGGCTGCCTGTGAAGATGGACTGTTTGAGTTCCAGATCCAGCCATATGTGTTCTGTGGACAGTTGGGATGTTACCCTGACAATGAGAATGTGAGTCAACTTGGTGGTCCTCTCTGAATGCTCAACAGGAGTGACCCTGCTATTCTGCTTTGTATTCCTGTGTTTAACAGAGCCATATAATAATTTGGGTTGGAAGAAACTTTCAAAAGTCTTTTAGTCCAACAGTCCTGCAAGGAGCAGGGAGATTTTCAAGTAGATCTGATTGCTCAGAGCCCCATCCAGCCTGACCTTGAATGTTCCCAGGGATGGGGCATTCACCACTTCTCTAGGCAACCTGGGCCAGTGTCTCACCATGCTCATTATAGAAAGCTTATTTCTTACACCTGGTCTAAATCTACCCTCTTTTATTTTAAAACTGTCAGCCCTTGTCCTGTTGTTACACACTTCACTAAAAAGTTTGTCTTTCGTGTTGGCCCCCCTTACTGGAAGGCCACAATCAGGTTTCCCCAAAGCCTTCTCTTCTCCAGAATGAGCAAACCAAGTGTGTTTAGCCTGTCCTTATACAGAGAGGTGTTCCATGCCTCTAAACTTCCAAATGGGTAGTGATGGTATTCTTTGGCTTCCCTTGTGGAAGAGCTATCCTTTCCTTATCCTGGAGCTAAAGTTAGTGACATTCACAAATTTCTGAGTTCCTCTCTACCAGTATTACTTGTTTCTGAGCCAAAATGAACTGTGGTCAATGAGTATCAATACAAAATTGTTAGTGGAGAATTTTTTTAGGTTTATAACAGTACCAAAAATATTTATGTCACATACAAAAAATCCTCTTTACTGAGATGAGTGTATGTTTTTCACAGGGTGCTGCAGGAGTCCCTGGTTTGGCAGGAGCTGCAAGCACCAGTTATTCCTGCTTTGCTATATAATGATGCCTCTTGTCTGCACCCCAAGGTGCACCATTTTTAACACCTAGAAATGCTGTCCAGGTTCTAATTGAAAAACTGAAACATCAGCCTTAAAATGAGAAGTGTCAGCCTCATTTCAAAAGTTTCTAGTTAGTTACAGCCTCAAAGAGCTGCCTACTAAGATTTCTAAGAATGTTTCTGTGCTTAACCTCTATTACTTTTAGTTGTTAAGAATCTTTTTAAAGTCTGTTTCTTTGGGAACCTTTTGAAGTTAAGTAAGGGTAAATCTGAAGGAATGGTGGGAGTGTGAAATGGGACAAAATTGTAATTGGAAACCTGGATTCTTAAACTTTTTCTGAGATTTTTCTATATTGCACTTGCCCTTGCCCTTTCAGTTGATGTAATATGAGATAAGCCTGTATAATGCAAAATATGGAGAATGTTTTATTCATTTTTGCTGCAAGTGCTAAAAAGGAAAAAAAAAAAAAACACCCCAGAAAAAGAAAATAAGTAAAGCCTTTTAAAATTGTATTTATAGTATTGGTTTCAAAGCCTTGCAGGCAGCATCTCATGAAGGTTGTCTAAATACTTGCATCAAGTATTTCAGTAGTCTTTCAGTAAGAATTTAATGTGAAGTTATGCTGTAATTATACATGCACACATCTTTGAATTCTACATATAGAGATAAACTCTGAATTTCAATGGATCTTAGAGGAGCAGCTGAGATTTTGCCGAAAAAGAAGAGTCCTCTAGTCTAAAGGAATACCTTTTCTCTCTAGTCTAAAGGAATACCTTTTCTGTTCCTCCCTGCCTCCTAAATATTGGTGGAGAGGGTGCTGTCAGGCTGTTACAGCATTTGGGCTTTGTCTGCTGCCATCATCATATTTACTAATACAGATTTGTATCCATAATTTAGCTCAAGATCTATTTGCCAGTGCATAGCTGAACACTTCTAGCTCATTTGGCAGTATGTGTTGGCATAGCAGTCATCATGGAAGCAAAGTGTATGTTTGTATTTGGATCTTGTGGCAGATGTGTAATACAACAGAGATAATGCTTTGGCATGGGCACTTTCCTGGCTCTACCCCCATTTGAAGTGTTCCCTGGTTATGATCTGTGATTGTGGCTGATATTGATGTTTATCTGCCTTTTCAGAAGGAAAATAGCATCATTCTCTTTTCCACTTTTTTTTTTTTTTTGTTTTGTGTGTTTTTCTTGTGGTGTTTCAAAGATAGCACAGCATCATACAAGCACAGTGGAAACAAAACTTTATAATACACTTTTTCTCAACTTCTGTATGGGTTCTTAAAACAATTTGTAACCCATCTATCTCATTTGGTCACTGAAAAGCTGGGGTTTGCAGTCAGGGCATTAGAAAGTGCAGGTGACTGAATTGCTGTGCAGTCTCAAGTATGTTTAAATTACTTTGTGTGAGTAAGTATGTCAGGGACAAAAATTATAGAAGAGGAAATACATACTTGCTCCTCTTTTTTACTTTTTTTTGGTGGAACTTGGGGCAAAAGAATGAGTTTTGCAGAGTGAGCTTAAGGTGCGTATGTAGTTTGCCCTCAAAACAGGGTTTAACTTGTCTTTTTGGGTAACTTAATTTCCCAAATAAAATTTGTGCTTCCGAAGAAGCAGCACTCTGTTCATTTTGCATTTACAGGGATTTTTAAAAAAGAAATTTCAACTAGGCTCCTTCATTTCTGCCTTTTTGTTAATATTAATGTTACAGCATCGAATTGGAATGCTGTGTCTCAGTTTTAGTTGTCTTTGTGAAGGCAGAGCAGAATGAAGGCAGGAGAAAGTCTGAAGACAGACAGGGCTGGAAGGAAGGAGAAGCAGCAGTAGCTTAACTGATTGTTTGCCTTTGCCTTACACAAATGTGGCCATGCAAACACCACACATTGAACAAACACACTAAAAACTGATGCAATAAAACTTGGTAATGGGATATTGAACTGTCTTTGTAAGTTAAATTCTGGCTGTATTTAATTAAGTAAAAATGATGTTTCAGCCATGATACTTTGCCTTATTAATAAATGAAGGGAAAATGTAGGATGAAATAAAACTGTTGCTGCCTTACTTACTGGAGCTTTTATTTCCCCTTGTCCATATGTGTATTGTGAGAACACAAAGCATAACAAATAGCGTTTGCACTTAGTTCTGAATACAGTGAGGTCCACGATCACTCTTCTCTCTGTGAAAGCAAGCTTCAAAGCCTGCCTGGCTGCCCAGAGACTTTGCATTTCTGCACATGTGATGGATGGCTTCGCTGCTCTAATAAAGCATGGCTGTTGTTGGAGGTCGTGGTCACAGGAGAAATGCAATCCATCTTTAATGAGGGGCAGTTCTACAGAGGCCTTGGATGCCAAGACAGAGATGGAGCATTTCATTTTTCATTTGATGTAGAGGGCCAGTGCAGAGACACTATCTTGTTCTATAATTTTTTTTTTTTAATTACTGAGAAGGTGGGAGCTGTATCCGGTACAAACATTAACCACTCCAGATATTTTGGCTTAGGTCCCAAGTGTAATGAATCTGGAGGTTGCAAATGTGTGTGTTTCTATGGCCGGATCGCTGATGAGGTAGGGAAATCAAACCTCTGGCCATGCACAGATGGTGTTAACTTGCCTGTCTGAGCATCCATCCTTAGGAACTGAGGTCTCACAGGCTGCATGCTAACTAGCAGACAGTGCCTGTAATCAAGGGGAACATTATGGCCTAGGGAAATTCTTCAGAGCAATTCCCATCAATTCACATAGTAGATGTGTCTTTTGAGTGCCTCTGATAAGCAGGAACTCCTGTTAGGGGAGAATCTGAAGGTGGATCTTTTCATTGGCCAGGCAAATTCTGTTACATGTGTGCTCTGCTCTTTGTTTTCTAGACTACTTGCAGATGTTGGACATTGGTGGTGACGAGGGTTACTGGGCCCTTTTCGTTCAGATCAAGAAGCAGCAAATTAAGAGTAGCAACTTTTCTTCACTGCATTAGTTGTAGTTGGACTAGTGTACGAGGCATGTAGAACTACACACGTTACCAGTCTCCTTGCACATTTGTTTTGGTTTTTAAGCTCTAAAAATGAGATCGTTCTCTCATGGTGAATTTATTTGGTATTTTAATTATATTGCCTAAAGACTGTGTCTGAATACTGTGTATGTGGCTGTTTGAGAAGAAGGTAAAATGCTTTCTCTAAGCATGAAGAATGCTAATTATCTTTTTCCCCTTAGCTTCTGCTCTTAGACCTGTGGGAGACAGACTTTATTTAGCAAAGGGAGGGATGAACATCACTTCTTCCAGGCTCATAAGTTAAAATGTGAAATGTGTCTGCTGTGGTTCATTGACATGTCTGTTCTTAGATTTGTTCTTTCAATAAGCATCTCTGAAAGGTGGCAGGAAACACCAGCACTGTCAGTACAGAATCAAAACTAGGAGGGAGCTGTGTGTTCACAAGAAAATTGGAAATTCAACTCATGCTTAGACTTTGAAAACCAAGATATATTGTATACCTGTTCCCTGAACTCATCATTCAGGAGTATAATATATTCCACAATCCCAATTGTATCTTTCTTATGCTTGTTTCATTTATTTAAGCGTTGTTTGGTTTAACAGTTTTAAACAAAACAGGTACAGATTTAAGTATCTAAGGTAATGCTGGTGCTGGACTATAGTTAAAAATGTGTTTTCCTTTGGAATTTAATAATTTAGCAATTGACCTGTTTCTTTTCAGACAGATTCTTGTGCTGTATTCATCATCCTGGTATTGGAACAAATGGCACATAAACTCTTTTAGAGGAGAGGATGGTTTGCATACCAATATTGAGTTTATTCGAGGTTGATATTTCTTTAAAAATATATTCTTGAAAGCAAACATTTTTGCTGTATTTTTATTTGTCTTTCAGGTTGATCCAGCTTTGAAGGAAAAATTAAAACAGAATCCTGTGACATTGGAATCTGAATATGAGGTAAAATAAATTTGTTGCCTGGGGCCCATAACCTTGGCTACCCTTGATTACCCTGGCCGCTGGTGGGTCGTATCTGTCCCTAACTAAAATTAGATCAACCATCTGCCTTTGACTCACTGTTGTCCAATAAAAACAAGGTTTTATGTAAAGAAAGGTTTTTGAACACGTAGTGCTTCTTTCTGAACACAGCTTTACTTTGATTTCCAGGCGTCAAGTACAGTGGTACAAATAAATTCACTATTTCTGTGGTTAACCTGGTCTATAAATGTAGGGTTGATGTTGGCCTTAGAGGGAGTGTGTGTGAATGTAAGTCAGCACTTCTACTGCATGAGCTTGGATGATTAGACCAAATTACAGAACAATGTGCACAATGTACTTTATGTTATTTCTTGCTTCTGAAGTTTGTGTGTATCTTTGAAACAACTGTCATTCCTTTTACATGGTTTCAGAAAATTTTGTAGAAAAATAGTTCACTCTTCCAGCAACACAGCATTTTCTTCAAATATTACTGAGTTCTAAAATGTCTGTTTTAACTAGTGCAGTGTCCAGTCTCATAGATTTTCAGGCCTACAAAAAGCCATGTTAGAAAAACTGAATGAAAAACCTCCCTGTAATCAGAAACAAATAATATAGCTATTTAAGATTATTCTTAATGTTTTAAAATTAATTGAATCAGGTGTTCAACTAACACTTCATTTATCTCTGTGGCTTTTATTCTGAGCACAGATTTTTGTTTTCTTCCTATACCGTATTTCTGTCACAAGCCTTTGAAGATCTCCATGGCACCCATTGCTCTCATACTTAGGTGTCCAAATGGCAGTACCTGATCTTGATAATAAAATTTTACTAATTTATTACTCTTTTGTAATTTGTCTGAAATAAAAATAAAACTTACTTTTTGTACGTTCACAGGCCTAATTTCACAAAATATTTGCTAGTTTTTACCATTATTGCAGATAGTTTCGGGCTCTCCCCCGCTATAAAGAATTGTAATTTCTGGTGCAGGGAATAACAAGTGGAAAGTTCCAGTGGAGACTCAAAACTTACAAATCCATTAAGTTCTGATTGCTTCTGGGATTACTGTCTCTCAGTTTCCATTCAATATATTGTAAGGCTGCTCTGATTTATTTATGTGGAAGAAAAAATAAAAAGAACCACAAGCAGTAAAAAGAACCACATCTCAAACTCAATATCTAACCTCAAAATCAACAGATCTGTATTCAGATATACCATACTCTTTCTTCAGAAGATGAGTAAATAGGTTAAGGATAATATTTAAATAGCCATAATTTCATTATCTTTATGGATAAATCAATGCTAATAAAATACATCTGGCATAACAATATATTACAAGCCTTCTTAGGTAATGAGACTCTTTTCTGATGGACAGAAATGACAGAAGCAATCTTATTTTTTCTTAATGTAAACTGTGGAGAATTCCCAGACTGAAAGTCTTCCAGAGTAGTGCTTGGGTGTTATAGAGGGCAAATCAGTTCAACAAAACAAATGGATTTGCATAATGAAAATAGATTTGGATTATTGTTTTGAAATCTAATATCAATATATACTTTATTATGGGCACCAGCTTGCAAGCACATTTAAATTTCTTGCTTCAGTGAAACTTGTGAAACTACCAGCAGTCATGCACACAGTTTGCAGGCTCCACGCTAAGTGTGTGACAACATTAAGTCACTGTTACCTCTGCATTCTGGTGGATAAAATTTAACCAATCACCCAGTTACAGCTGACATTTAGGAGAGTAGTTTTCTGTGGACCCCATCTTTTCCAGACTAGAGGGGTTTGGGTGGATGTTTTTCTCCTTTCTTTATTTTTGACTTGTCCAAAATACAACTGTTAGGAACACCTAATTCAATATATAGGTCACTTTGAAGGATTACACTGGTGGCTGTTACTAAATGTGGTGTGATAAGAGATCAAGGGGAGTTAAAAGAAAATGCTGTTTCGATATGTAAAGCCTTATTTTACAATATTATTAGCATTATATCTGCAGCTGTTACTGAGGATACCATGCCAGCTCTTTTGAAGTGTGGTTGCCTGAAAAATGCAAATGTCCTTTGGCCCTCCCCAAGACTTTTAAAAATATCTTACTGTCCTTACAGAAATGTGCATATTGAATTCATACTGAATTCTTCTAGAATGTCATAATTTCTTCTGTAAGCATACAGATATGCCAATATTTCAAACATGTTGAAGGCTGCATTTTGTCTCTGATGTGGTGTTCATGATGAGGTAAAAAGATATAATCACAGACCTAATTTATTGTGAGGAAATTAACATGAAGACATTTTCTTACCTTCTCATTTACTAAATTATATCTTCTCAAACTATAAAATGTTTATTTCATACAGGAATGTTTCTGGTCAGGATACTATTTTGAGGAAGGAAGAATTTACATGTGAATTCATACTGCATTTCTTGTATCTCAGATCTGTTAATAATGGCGTTTATCTTGTGTCTTGGGCCGTGCCAGAGGAGCAAGCTACCTTTGCATACACTGTCCATTGTTTATGCATTCCTCTCACACACTTTTGTGTCCTCATATGACCAGTTAGTCCCTGCTGCTCCCCTTTGCCTAATAAATCACAGCTCTGTCCACTAGTGATGCTGGTACTAATGTGAATGTAGTTCTGCTGCTGAGCTGGGCCTTGTAGAACACACTGTAAAAGATGTTGAGTGTTTGACCTGTGACAAAAGCCTGAGTATTTTATTTGAAAGGACAAATATTTGTTTGAAAAAGGGAGATAAAAAACCTGATTAATATGATGAGTGAAAACCATTCTCGTGATTGTTTAACAGTCACAGTACATTCCTCTTCATGTGTTTAATTCAGTCTCAAAATAGCATTCCTTATTCTAGCACTTGATTTCTTTACTTCTGTGAAATTAATGGTCTAATAAACACTAAAAAATCTGGCCTCAGTTACATCAGACCCCAAAATATAGAATTGTTGTTAAGGGGTTTTCTAGCAAATAAAAGCTTCTTTAAGAATTTACTAACACTTTGCTGTGGAAAAAAAATCATTCAAGTTTGACTCAAATATGTGATATTCAGTGGGAATCAATAGCAATTGAAAGTAGAGGGAAAAATATTCCAATAAATAAAAACGTGAAGGATTGCTATGGAAACAGTAAATGAGTTAGTCATAAAGCAGGGAAGACTGATAAAAGATGCTAAGGGCATCTGAGCTGTCTGATAAGTAATCTGACAAGGATAGGGGTAAGAGGATGGTGTTGCTGCAAACCAAGAATAAAATAATGAGGATGTAAAATAATGAGTAACCATGTTGGCAAAGTAGCAACATTCAAAAATGTATCAGTATTTTTTTAGAGAAAAAGGTCCTTTGTATATGAATCAGATGTGCTTCCAAATCCCTTAATAATCAAACAAGATGTTAAATACCTACTAGACTCTGCTGGTTTACAGCTATATTCTAAGAATGGGCTTGGAGGACTTCAGTGGCTGCTGAAAATTTCAGTCTGGGAATGATGGTTCTCTGGGAATCGTCACTAGGCAGGAAGGTGATACTATTAAAAGAGTTCTGGGAAATTTGGGACATACAGGCACTTTTGGGTACTTTTTTCAGTGATGTGGAAGAAATTATGAAATCATTACTAATGTGCAAGTGATAAAATATTGCAATAGTAGAACTATGGCAAGGCAGGGAGGGAGAGCTGTTCATATTACTTGCTAACATGGGCCTGTTAGAAGTGCTAAGTACCTTTTAGAGTAACCAAAGTTATTTATTTAAAAAACTGAAAATGCAGGCCAGGGTGGACTGCGTTCTGAAAAGCAGCAATTCTGGAAAAGATTTAGGAGTCGGTGAATAAATAATTCAGTTTGATCCTCTAGTGTGATCTTGTGGCACAAAAGCTAATTCAGTGTATGAATATGAACAGGAATGGTAGATATAGGAACAGGTGATTTTACTTCTGAGTGTGGCACTGATGAGGCTGGGACTGAAATTCTGCGTCTCCTTTTGGTATCTGGGTTTTGAACAGGGCTTTAAGAACAGATTGCAGAACAGGCTGACTGTACTAACTTAGAGCTCTAAAAATTCCTTAAAAGAAAGTTAAAGAGTTAAATGATATTAAAGGTACTGAGAAGAATGGTGTTTTCATATAAATATTTCCATAGGAAGAAGGTGATAGCAATTGAACATTTTTTACTGCAGAAAATATAGTAAAGTTAGAAGTAAGATCTGTTCTTAATAGCTGGGAACATCATTTGAACACAACGCAAGAAAAATTAGTCTTCTGTGTTTCAGAATATCAAAACTGTAAAACTTTACAAAGTTTTCCTTCAACTGGTTGCAAGGATGGCATTATTGACATAATGGTCAAATAGTCTGCAAATGGTCAGACTAGAGAATGCTGCTTTCTTGAGTTAGAGTATGAATGTTGGGAAGGTTTCGTTCCTAATAATTTGATAAATCACAAAAAGTCAACAATAGCTCTGGACAGAAGTGTTTTAATTGTTTGTCCTGAGAATTACAGCAAAAGACTTGTAATTGCAGTATTAAAATGTATATTGAGGACAGTTGAAAATATAAAAGTAGGTGTATGGAGAGGTGTTTTGGGAATATAACCTATATATTTACTGTCTTAAAAGAAGAATTTGATTAAGCTCTTCTGAAAAAGACTCAGGCCACTTATTGCTCATTTGACATAACTTCAGGGATTGTGGTGCCAGCAGAATGGATGAAGCTTTTTTTTCAGGGGGTGACAGTGTAGTAACACAGTAATTGCATCCAAGTGTGTGGACAACAGGAGTGCTCCAGAAAGAAATTCCTGGATGCCAGTCATTGATATCTGCAAGTGTCTTGTTGCTGTCATTATCAGTACCAGAGGATTACTGATTTTGTTGCTGTTCAAGAATTAACAGATTAGTGTACTGAATTGATTTGCTTCAATGTCTGTGAAGATATTGGTGGCTAAATGCCTTGAGCTGTTTGAGAGCTGACGGAGATGTTGGGAAAATAT